TTATATATTAATTTCTAATTTTTTAATTACTATTTGTGCTCAGTTGTTGACATCAGCTATCTGCTGATGTGTTAAAATTTTGGAATAATGCAATAATAAACATTTAAATTTCATTTCGCGATCTGGAAATACTTATTGTATTTTCATGTTACATTACTCAGACTATTTTTTTCAACTAATTTTTACATTGTATCTTGTTGAACAATTTCCGCATCTTAATTATATATTCCAGACCCCCCACGAATTTTGAGTTATTTCAGTTATTTAATTTATATTTCATCTCTATCGTTTAATATTTTTATATCCAGCGAGCCAAAGAATGAAAACATTACACAGATAAAGACATTGATGATGACGAAATTGAGGAGAAAAGGAATTACAGCCTTGATGAAAAGTTACACTGTATCCAGTTCAAGGGGGATTTCGTGATGCATATGAAAGGAGATGGTATATGATGGCTTCAAATTTTAAATATGTTTTTGTCGTTAAATTGGATTTTTTTTATTATACCTATGTTTGTATAAATATGCATATCATTTTAAATACTTCTGATTTAGAGTTAGTCAACATTTTGAAAATATATATGTATAGCTTACACTTTGCTATTTCCGCAATACTGAAGAGACTCATTAACTTCATCTCACAACTTAATACAGTGTAACCCGGATATAAGAGACCCGGATATAAGAGAAACCCGGATATAAGAGAGATTTTCTCTGGTCCTAAATTAGATCCCATACTTACCTAAACAAAAGAGACCAAACTCGGATATTAGAGAAACCCGAATATAAGAGATTTCTTCTCCGGTCCCGACAACTCTCTTATATCCGGGTTACACTGTACTTATTAATTATTAAGTAATAAAAAAAATAGACTTATTACTAAAATATTTTAAGTTATCAATAACTTAAATATTTCAAAAGAAAGAGAAAACACACATTTTTGGGTATAAATCTCTCCATTTCAGCAAGTATCCAATCAGTGATAAGGGCAGCAGTTTTTGTGTCAGAATACATAAATAAGGTTGGAAGGGGAGTTTTCGTGTTGTAGGACCTAAAGATGCCCCAGTCTGCTTTCGCATAGCGAAAAATCGTTCTATGGAATAGTACATCAGGGGATGCCTATGGTTTGGCATTAATATGGATTAATAAATCATCTGAGTTGACAAGTGAAGGTAAAACTTTTGATAGCCATTTATCAGAGCCGGAAGTTAGGAAGAGATAGTGAAGGTTCGACTGATGATCCTTCGTGTCCGGGGATCCGGGTAGGTTCTCCGATGATCTCGGTTAGTTCATAGGCAATGGGGAAGTCTCTGCAATATCTGCCTTCAATAGCGGTTTTGATGAAGTGGACTTCTCTCTCTTTACGGTTGATATTGAAATCACCCCATATATGAAAGCTGTCTGGGCGGGATTGAGTGATGATGATATCAATCTTTTTAGATATTCGGTCAAAAATTACCGTCGTGAGGAGAGTAGAGAGCAAAGACAAATGTGGTACTATGTATAAGTGCCACGCGGAAGCACATATACGGGAAATCGGGTTTGTCGGTTTTTGAGTACCTTCCACAGGGAAACTTGTCCTTGATGTAGGCTTCAAGCCTAAGTCCGTGACTATTTAGGTGGAACTGCTTGGCCATGAAAAATGAGTAGCCTGGGACTATGAACTCCTCTAGTGCACATGAAGTGTTGATACCAGTTTCAGAATGTAAGAGGAGACCTGGTTTAGACTGGAGAAGATATTGTTCATCTTTTGGAAATTTGGAACGTAGACCCCCTCCCGTTGGTGTAGGAGACGGTATACAAAGAGTCTAGTTTGTTTATTTTTGGGTTGATTTTGATAGTTTTGTTCAAACCCTCTGCCCCTGGGCAGAGAGGATCCCCAGACGAGGCTATGTCGAAGAGCAGAGTCTACCAATCTCAGATGTTCGTCAAGTGTACTTAGTTGAATATCTTGGTGTTCACGAAAAAAAAAAAATTATAAACGAAATAGACAATCAAATTCTCCGTCTTCTCATCATTATATATATATATATATATATATATATATATATATATATATATAATGAACAACAGACACTTTAAGGATTTTGGTTCATCAGGTAACACTTCCAACAATGATGCTCCAAAATCCTTTAAAAAGGATTTTGGTGAAATAAATTATTGTAATGGTACCTTAAAGTGTCTGTTGTTCATTAAATATATATATATATATAGATCAGGTAACACTTCCAACAATGAGTGTTACCTGATGATCCAAAATCCTTTAAAAAGGATTTTGGTGAAATAAATTATTGTAATGGTACCTTACCTACCTGTTGTTCATTAAATATTAGCTCTGTTCTTCACATTGAGCTCTCAGGATTTCATCCTCCTTGAAATTACCAATTAGGTTTACCAAATTCTTCATAACTTAAATATATATATATATATATATATATATATATATATATAATGATATATTCGCCCGTACATTGTCGTATCATCGACATAGATCTTTACAAATGATCTGAGTATGTTAGGCACATCATACATGTGCATCAAAAATGGGTTGACCCGAGGAGTGACCTTTGAGGACGACTGCGTTGACTTCTAAGGTTACGGAGGACTGATCAATGGGAGCTATCTTCATGGAAATACCTATTAGCAAGGATTTTATGATCGAGAAGAACCTTCCACTGAGTCCATAACTGTCGAGTTTGTGTAGAAAGGCTTTGTGCCACCCTTCTAAGATATCTAATACCACTGGTCATAGAGGTGTTTCTGTAGTTAAGAGTCTCACTGATTCTGTGAGTGATGGGAGTTAGGACGAAGATACCCCATATGAATAGGCATTTCTCCTCGCAAGAATTAACCTTAAAAAGAAACAGGAAAGACGAGGAAGGAAAAGATGACAAAGTAAGAGAAAAAATTAAAGAGAAAGAAAGACAAAAAAAAGGCAAAACAGAGAAGGAAAAATAATGGAAGGGAAGAAAGAATAAAACAATTAGAAAAGTAGCAAATCGTTCTGAGAAAAGGTTAGAAAGAATTTCATGGTAAGAAGACTTGGAAATCAGACACCAGCTAAAATGACCTTGACCTATATTTTTAAATATTAATATCTGGTTTCAATAATAAAATAATTAAAAGGTAACATCTAAAATAATAATATTTATAATATAATTGAAATAATAATGAATTAATGAAAAATTAAAGACTAGTTATTATGTAAATTTTATAAAAAAATATTATATACTAAATGTAAATTAATAGGTAATAAATATACATAAATAAATAAATTATTTAATTAACAGCTAAACTTAAGTGAAATATAATTGAAATATGAATTAATTATTAAATATAAATTTTAAAAATCCTTTTAATAAATTAAGTATTCAAATTGTGGATCAGTTTTTAATATTTTATATTTTGAAATTATATTGGATTATTTACCCACGAATTTATATTTATATATATATATATATATATATATATATATATATATATATATATATATATATATATATATATATATATATATATATATATATATATATATATATATATATATATATATATATATATATATATATATATATATATATATATATATATATATATATAATTATTTATTTAAAATTATGATTCCATCGCTACATGAGAGTACATGAGAACTCTTGTGGCGATGGAATCATATTTTTAAGAAAATAATTATATTTATGCTCTACTTTTTTTTTATCGAGCACTATTTTTTAAAGATAATAACAAAAATACTTTGGATTATTTACCTAACGAGTTCTTTCCTATTTTCTATATATTTTTACACACACACACACACACACACAAATATATAAAATTACTCCATCGTCCCTCTTCAGGCCAGAAGAGTTGGACCCATCCCTTTTCCTAAGTGTATTATGACATAAGTGAATGTAATGGATCCGCCTGGAATTCGAACTCGGCTCTCCGATTTCTCAATCCGAGCCGCTATCCATTACTCCATCGTTCCTCTTCAGGCCAGAAGAGTTGGATTCAACCCTTTTCCCAAGTGCCTTATCACGTAAGTGAATGCAATGGATTCGACTGGAATTTGAACTCGGCTCTCCGATTCCTCAATCCGAGCCACTATCCTCTACCTACTGTGCCAAATATTAACAGAAGTTTCCTCAAATATGTCTGACTAAATTCTCTTGATAAATTACAATTTAGACTCTGCACATAGTGTTTAGATGGCAATTTATCTTGCATACCAGTTCGCTAATCTCGTGAGTTTGTTTCTGGTATTTATCCAACTATAACATTTAACAGGACTGGACACTTCTAACCGGTGTAATGGTTAACAAGTAGAGAGATCGTTCTTCACTGGGTGTACATATACATTCGGCCTTGTGTCACATGTAAGCTACGCTTAGAAAATCAACATAGCATTTAACAGGACTTAGCTGACGTTAACCTGTAGCAATGAGCATAACACATTTTTTGACTGGCAATTGTTTCTGTAATCAAGTCTTTCTCCATCCCCCAGAAATCTGACGATTTGAGATTTGGCTTGGATGCAAAAATCGGTTCGGTACGTTGGCAAGGATTAGAACGGGGCGTTCTAAAAGTGAGTGGGAAGTCAAAATGAAAGAAAAAAAAATAAACAGATGGATCAGGAAAAAAAAAAGAAGAAAAGAGGAAGAAACACGAAGAGACGGACGAATCCAATGAATTTGATGGAAATGGAAAAATAAAATGGTACGAACAGTATAGAAGGAAATGATTAAGAATGATTTCAGTTTTTTTTCCCTGACAGGATATTGCATGATGCAATCAAAGGCCGTATCATCAAGCCCTGACTTCGATTAGACACTCAGATTTGACTTTCTGTTTCGCGACGATTCAGTCGGTTTTTTTTTGTATTTCTTTTTTCATAAATTCTTCTATCTCTGATTTTCTCTTGTCTTTTCTTTAGTTCCTTCATTGCTATGCACATTGCCCTTTGCATCTTCTCGTCATGCCGTCTAGAATTTAGAAAATTTAATGTGTATTTATTTACCCGATCTGTTTTTCACTGTCTTCTTGTTTTCCTTGCAAGAGTTTTATTGTCATTTCAATAATTTTAACTCTGAACTATGCGATTTTTCCCAGTTGCCTGATATCATTACTCTGGTAAATATATATATCTATCTATCTATCCCTTTCTGTTTATATCTATCTATCTATCTATCTATCTATCTATCTATCTATCTATCTATCTATCTATCTATCCGTGTGTCTGTCTGTTGCTATCTATCTATCTATCTATCTATCTATCTATCTATCTATCTATCTATCTATCTATCTCTTTCTGTTCATATCTATCTATCTATCTATCTATCTATCTATCTATCTATCTATCTATCTATCTATCTATCTATCCGTGTGTCTGTTGCTATCTATCTATCTATCAATCTATCCCTGTGTCAGTATGTTGTTATCTATCTATCTATCTATCTATCTATCTATCTATCTATCTATCTATCTATCTATCTATGTCTTTCTGTTCATATCTATCTATCTATCTATCTATCTATCTATCTATCTATCTATCCGTTTCTCTTTTTCTCTGTTATCTTTTTTTGTTTTTCCCCTTTTCTTCCACTTTACACAACACTTTCTGTCTCTCTATCACTTTCTGAAATACATTGACGATATGACAAGTCATTTTTATCACTTACTTCTATTTTAATAAAGCTTCTCTATGAGTCTCACTCACTCTCTCTCTCTCTCTCTCTCTCTTTCATTATCACTTTCTCTCCCCGCACCCTTCTGCTTGCTCTTTCCTTTACTTTAAATTCGGTTATTTTCTCCCCTATTCGCATTAGTCTGTCTTTCTTTTTTTAATTTAAACATCTCTTGCTAAATAAATATTTATACGCCTGTATGCATGCTTATATGTATGGGCACGTCTGTGTACCAAGAGATCAGAACATTCGTTTTCCGACCACCAGTTCCAGGTTCAAATCTCACCATGGTTGATATCGGCATGGGGGAGGCGAACCCAGTGTATGGCACCCTCGGAAAGTGAATCAAAACCATACCGTGTCTTGGCCCGAGCCCTGTGTGACAGAACTATTTGAGAGATGTCGATGATTGTGATTGCAGAAAATTAAAAGTCATCATGACCAAGGATGTAAGCTTACTGGCGTTGTTCATAATTCTGATCATGCCAGATAATGCACTTTCTACGGTCGGCCAAAAAGTGGGCTCTATGGGAGATGAACAGCGACATTGTGATTGACCAGAAGTCTGCAACCTAACAGAAAGTCATACTCGGATACTATTGGCCATTATGTATATATGTATGTATATGCTTCTTATGTATTGCTTAAGTTTGCTATAATAAATATTTTAATAATTTCAAAATGTATTTTTAATATTTTTAATATAAAATATTTTTAATATTTTAATATATTATTAAGAATTCTCTAATAAATATTTTAAATAATTTAATATAATATATTCAATATTTTCATATTTTTTTATATTTTAATATTAGGTTGGTGCAAAAATAATAACGTAATAATGTCGTTTTTGACGTATTTTTTAACGTCAAAAAACGACATTATTACATCATTATTTTTTCACCAACCTAATATAATGTTCATGAGATTTCTCTAATATAATATTTTAAATAATTTAATATAATATATATAAAATATTATAATATATACTTTTAAATTTTAATATAATCTTCTTGAGATTTCTCTAATAAATATTTTTAATACAATTTTTTAAATGTTTTTATATATTTTAAAATTTTCATATAATATTCTTAAAGTCCCTCTAATAAACATGTTTAATGTAATAATTTTAATATAATATTTTTATTAATTTTAATATATTTTAATATAATATGTTTATTATTTTTAATATATTTGAATATAATATTTTTTTATTTTTAATATATTTCAATATAATAGTGTTATGATTGTTTAAATAAATATTTTAAAAGAATTTTTCATAGTGATGAAAAAGAACATTTTAATAGCATATTAATGAGATATATATTTATACATATAGATATATAGATAGATATATGTAAATTATATAGAAATATATATGACAAAATATAAGAGAATTTAGATTACTTCGACTTTAGCCGATGAAATGTGTTCATCGGAAAATTAATTTTATTTCATAAGAACAAAAATTATTGTAGAGACAAAACGATTCACGTAAAGCAAAAGAACGCTTGATTACAAAAAAAAAGAAGTAAAATTCGAAATAATTTCAAGAGTTAAAGACAGTCGGAGATTGTATTGTTGGTTGGTCCTCCGACAGTGAGAAGAGTTCTTGAGAATTGAGTCGTCTTCCTCTCCATAGTAGGCGAGCCAAAATTTACGACTGATGTTTAAATAATAATAATAATAATAATAATAATAATAATAAGGAGTTTCAAATGGGCATAGAGATGCAACTACAGCACAATACACCGGCTGAAACTGCAAAATACCTAAAAAAGATAGCAAAGACGAATGCAACCGACCAGCTATAGAAGCGATGGCAAGATAAACCGCTTCATGACCAATACACTGCCCGTACCAAACAAGCTGATGTAGACAAAACCCGTACCCATCAGTGGCTACGTAGTGCAGGGTTGAAAGCGGAAACTGAAGGTTTTATCCTTGCTGCGCAGGACCAATGCTTGCTAACTAGGAATTATCAAGCACATATACTAAAATATTGTGTCAGCCCAAAATGCAGATTCTGTGATAAATATCCAGAAACGATTGATCATCTTGTATCAGGTTGAACTGTGTTGGCACCCACTGAATATAAAACCCGACATGACAGAGTGGGCCAATATCTGCACTGGAAAATCTGCAACTTCTACCGGAAGGAAACTGAAAGAAAATGGTATAAACACCACCCAGACCCGGTTACGGAGATAGGACCTGTTACAATTCTATGGGACTACACAATACACACTGAGAGAACAATCAAGGCCAACCGGCCAGATATTGTTATTAAAGACCACAAACAAAAAAGATGCCTCCTTATTGATATGGCAGTCCCTGCTGACTGCAATGTATCTTTGAAGATATTCAAAAAGTTCTCAAAGTACAAGGACCTTGAAATAGAAATCTCGAAAATGTGGCATATGGGAACATCAACAATCCCTGTTGTAGTTGGAGCCGTAGGACTGGTTGGAAAAGATTGCAGTAGACTAATTGAAGGGATTCCTGGAAGCCCATTCCTCAAAGAGATACAAAAAATTGTTCTGACAAGTACAGCCCACAGCCTAGGAAGGGCTTTATCTATGTAAATTAACTTTTTTTTTTTTTTTGTCAGTGGAAAATGTCATGACGCCATCTGTAACTTAGGTCCCTGAACGGGACCCGGAAATAAATGTGTAAACGCCAGAAATCAAAGCAAATAAAAATACTACTACTACTACTACTACTACTACTACTAATAATAATAATAATAATAATAATAATAATAATTTTTTTCTTTTGTCAGTAGAAAGTGTCATGATGCCATTTCTAACCTTCGGTCTCTGGGCGGGACCAGGATAGAAATGTGTACGCGCCAGAAATCAAAGGAAATAAAAACAAAATAATAATAAGAAAAGCACAATACACTGGCTGAAGCTGCAAAATACTTTTAAAAAAGAGCAAAGATAAATGCAACGGACCATATTCAGAAGAAATGGCAAGATAAACCGCTTCATGGTCAATACTCTGCCGGTACCAAAAAAGCTGACGTAGACAAAACCCGTACCCATCAGTGGCTACGTAGTTCAGTGTTGAAAGCTGAAACTGAAGGTTTTATCCTTGCTGCACAGAACGAATGCTTGTTAACTAGGAATTATCAAGCACACATACTAAAATATTGTGTTCGCCGAAAATGCAGATTCTGTGATCATCTTGCATCAGGTTGCACGATATTGGCACCCACTGAGTATAAAACCTGGCATGACATAGTGGGGCAATATCTGCACTTGAAAATTTCCAACTTCTACGGGAAGGAAACTGAAAGAAACTAGTATGAACACCACCCAGACCCGGTTACGGAGAAAAAGACCTGTTACAATTCTATGGGACTACACAATACACACTGACAGAACAATCAAAGCCACCCCCCCAGACATTATTATTAAAGACCATAAACAAAAAAGTGCTTCCGTATTGATATGGCAATCCCTGCAGAGTGCAATGTATCTTTGAAAATATTCAAAAAGGGGTCAAAATACAATGACCTTGAAATCGAAATTTCAAAAATGTGTCACATGGGAACATCAACAAATCCTGTTGTATTTGGAGCTCTAGGATTAGTTGGAAAAGATTCCACTAGACTAAGTGAAGGGATCCCTGGAAGCCCATGCCTCAAAGAAATACAAATACGAAGGGCTGTATCTATGTATTTTTTTTTTTTTTGTCAGTGGAAAGTGTCATGATGCAATTTCTAACCTTAGGTCCCTGGGCGGGACCCGGAAAGAAATGTGTAAACGCCAGAAATCAAAAGAAAATAAAAACAATAATATTAATAATAAAAATAATTCCAGGAATGTTTATACCTCAGAAGACATCATCAGGATACCTGGGATTATTGGGAGTGTGCAGGTGAAAGTGCTGCTTGGAATATCTCATATCATAACGAAAACTGGAATGTCTGGAAACATGTAAGATTCGGAAATTATGAAATGTCAGTAATAATAATGGATGACTTGGATAACATTCAACATTTTTTTAGGGACTTACTGTTGTGAAGTGTAGAGGCTGATAGTTTTGAATGTATATAACTGATAATGTTCTTTTTTTAGAATTCCTATTATTTGACTGACCATGAGTGCATTTTAAATTTTAATCAGTCTTCGCTGAATTGTAACGTTTACTTTAATTTCTTAATCTTTTATTCCAAAACAAGACAATAAAATCACTAAAAGGGAAGCGGTCACTGAGGACGAGAGAATATGAAAACAACACTATTAATGAGAGAGGACAATAAAAGAACAGGAATTTAAGACATAAGATAACAATTGACATTTCATGACATTTTTTTTGAAAGTCAAAGTTGACTGTGAAGCAAATGGCCGGAAGAGTGTAGTTTGATGAAAGAAACTTAACATAGAATTTACGGTTACATCTTGCTAGTCCAACTATAATGATGAGACCTTGCCGCCAATCTAATACAGAACTTAAATTAATAAATTCATTTACTCTTCTCTCACTAAACCTGACATGACAGTAACAACACCTGTGAAGACATGATTAGGCTTTTTTAAAAGCCTAAATATACTGCATATATGCAGCCTCAACTAGATTTCAATGTGTTTAGATTTCACTGACTGCAATGATAAACACCATGCCTCCAAATCACAATTGTTAAATATATTCTATATTATAAAAATATATGAATTCGTTCATGTTCTGTTCTGAAATGACAAAGACACTCTTGAAGCTTCAACAAATCCACAGTATTATTATTATTATTATTATTATTAATTGTCATCATCATCATCATTCGATTTCTGCTATGGACACACTACCTACCAAGTCTGCGGAAAGACCTAAGGCAGGTCGTGGTGTGTTGTTATAATACACATTTCATGTTAATTTTTTTTTTTTTTTTATCTCCGATGAAGTTGCTAGCGTTACATAGACAAAGTTCTCCTTAGTGTGTGTGCTGTACTTTAAGACAAT